AACTTACTACACAAAAATAACATAATAAAATCAATGATTTCATTTAAATTTGGCTTTAAATTTTATTTAGTTAAATGGATTGACTTGAGAGGGTGGGATCAAGGTTAAGTGTTTACTTTGATAAATACTTTGACAAAGAGCTTTAATAAAGAAAATACTCTAGAACATAAAGTAGAATAAAATCTTTATGTTATGCAAATAATATTTAGAGTTAATTTTTTAAAAATCAATTCAAAGTTGTTGCTATTTAAAGTAATTGTTTAAAAATTTTAATTCTTCAGGTAAAACCAAGGATTGGTCAATGTAGTGTTGGTACTGCTACTATAATACCAGTTGTATATCAAGGTTTAATTTCTTTTTCAACTTGATATACCAGTTTCTTATCAAGGTTTATTTTTTTTTTTAACTTGATAGCAATTTCTTATCAAGGTTTTATTTCTCTTATAACTTGATATACCAGTTTTTTATCAAGGTTTAAACATTTTTAACTTGGTGTCCTAATTTCTTATCAAGATTTTATTTTTAACTTATATATTGTTAAAAGTTAATTGCTAAATATAAGAGAAATAAAACCTTGATAAGAAGTAAGATATATTGTTAAAAGTTAATTGCCAAGTCAAATTTGCATTTTTTAAATGTTAAATAAGTTTGCAAACAAAATTTGAACAAGTCAATAGTAAAACTCCGCTGAGCTAAAGTGACCATTCCAAGATTTTAACTTCTATAGTTTATTGATATTCAATATCAGTCAATTATTAAAGGTTGCTCATTATTATACAGTAATATTTTTGATACGATTCAAAATCTTAATTTTTAAAAATAATTCCTTTTGAGTCTTCGTTTACAATACAACATGTTTGGATAATTAATTTTCTTTGAGTTTTCAATACCTTTTAAGGAGTCGTTGAATTTTAAAAGCGTAAGTTAATTAATGTAGTTTTTTATCATTATAACTTTTTATCATCATAACAAATAATTATAACAGTATTTATCAAAATCTAATTTTTTTCTGAAAAAAAAACAAACAGAAAAAGTTTATTTTTCACAATAAGATTTTTTGCACTTGTTCTACATATTGTAATTCACTTTTTTTTTTGACATTACATACTTTTATTATGAAATACAAATATATAATTTAGATAATATGTCAGATTTAAAATTAGGAAACATTCTAGCAAAATGTGAAATACTTAGTCAAACAAAGTTTACTTTATTTTACATATGATTTTTTTTTTATAGATTAAATTATTGCATAATTATAATGTTTTTGTTAGATAATTTTTTTATTTAATTATCATTTTACAGGTTGTCAATATGTTTCAAGTTATGATCCAAATTATTGCGTTATAAGCAACACTCCAAGTAATTTTTTTAATTTTATTTATATGCACAACTAGAACATCTATATCCTGGTCCCAATAACTCACAGTGACTCAAAATCTAGCAATCATATATAAATTTGATTTTAATGAAAATTTTTTTGTTTTTGTTTTCAACAATAACCAAGGAAAAACTCATGTACCCAAACATGATGGCCATTTTGGTTGTACAATTAGTTTTTTAGTAAAGGTAATCTTCAACAAAAAACCTTCTCCAAATAATCTCTTTTAATCAAAAAATCTTAAAGTGATCTTCTTTAACCAAGATATAATTTACATATTTACATACTATATCATTTGCATTACCTTTTTTAGTTAAATTTTATAAAGAGAGGATTGATGACTAAAAAATTTTCATTATATTGCTTATATGAGAGGTCATATTGAATCTTTAGGCTGAGGTTATCTTTAAATTTTATTTTAAAATTTGAAGAATGTCTGAGTCAGATTCTAGAAGTCTCTGTTCTTACCTGGAGTTCATGGTCCTGCCTGTCATAAAAATTGTTGGAACTTTTCAGTATATGAATGTTTCCTAACTAACCCTTTTTTACATTTATAAGTTTATTAATTTAAATTTGTTTACCCAACGGTTATGTAACTCTAGTTTAGTTACCCAACGGTTACGTAACTTTAAACCAGTAAAAGCACAAACAAATTGAATAATGCTGTGTATGGCAAATCATAGCATATGTACACAAAATACACAAAACTTATAGTTTTCATGAGAGCTAGATGTTCAATTATGCTTAGGGTTATCATTGCTGTCTCCGTATGAAAACAAGAATTTTAACTTTGATTAGTTAAAATTGTTAATTGTAACTAAAATTAGTTTAAAAATTTAGTTAGTTAATTTTTTATGAAGTACAAACTCTAATCCTTATACGAGTCTTTCTGATATTATTAAGTTAACAGGCGAAAATATATATTTGTAACAAGCATGGCAAAAACATCAGCTGTTAGATGTTTTGCCATTTTCTGTCTTGTAATTCTTGAATCTCATAGAAGATACTATAGGGTTCAACCTAATGAGAAGGTGGTTGAACTGATTTCTCATCACATTAACTCTTGAAAAATTTGCATTGTGATTTAATCAAGCTTTACAAATTTCTTCATTGAAGGCTTCTTGTGACTCTTCTGAATAAAATCGAACCAGCAATATCAATGTTTCTGAAATCTGAGTCCCATCTTCCTGGGGTTTGTATGCAAATTGAGGTATTATATACCAGGAATACTTCTCTACTATTAAATTTGCAGTATTATTGCAGAAAAATTTGAATTGCACACTGTCTAGATTGAAAATAATTAATCTTTTTATAACCTCAACTTCAACTCCAGTCCATCAGAGAATATCTTTAAGCTCTTCTTGCAGTTTTTCCATTACTTATGTTTCTAAATCTAGAATTAGGAATATCAACAAGTAGGCTAAGTTCTTCCCTGCATCTGTCTTGGATGATCTTTTTTCTGTTCTGCACATAAATCTTGTGTTCAGTTTGCCTAGCTTGATAGACCTTTATATAAATTGTGTAGCCTAGATGTAATATGTATTCCAATGTTTTTATCTAGCAATGGAGAATTCATTGACAGATCAAATTGTAATCCCTTTTCATTGCACTTCTCTTATTGCACATTTTCCAAGTCAATAAATTGAGATGGCTTTGCTCCAAAAAGATTGCAGGATTGAGTAGAGGTATTGTTGGTCAAGGCATTGACAACCTTTTTGACGACCTTTCTTCCTCTATCTTGCACAGTTCTTTTGGTTCTATCTTGTACTGAAGTTTAAGAGGTCTACAGAAATGAGTAGTGGAAAGATTTTTTTTTAGCCATACTGTTTCATTGTTTGCAACAAGTTTTAGTGGAACCAAGACTATCTGGAATGTAGTTTCTTCATTCATCAAAGCCTCTTTCAAATCTATATCCACATATTTTTGCTTGTATAAACTTTGACTGAATGATCGATCAAACACAGTTTTACAGTATAAAATACTTCCTTTAACATGATCAAACTTTTAAAGAATCTCCTGGCACTCTAGTAAAACTAAAATTTAGCATTTCTGCTTTTCTAGAAATAACAGGTGTAGAGTTGGATAAATTTCAGGTTTTTACTTTAGTGAACTGTTTCTGATTAGTTGGTACTGGTTATTTGAAAGGTCACATTGTATTTTAAGGCATAGAGCATCTGCAGAACTCCTTTAATTGGCTGATTGTCTTTACTCTCAATTTTCTTTACAATCACTTTATCTCTGTTGCAAATATAAGGTATTTTTTCTGGACACTGAAGTAGTTTTGTAACTTTTCTACATTCTCTTTTCTGAAAGCATCTTCCTCTTCTAATTTATCATTATCAAGAACACAATTGAAAAAATATATGTCTAAATTTTTAGTACAAATTTCTAAGTTCTATATGTTGATCACCAGATCTCTATTGTTGTATTTCTTAAATGGCTTCTCTGCTTTCTCTATTTTATCTTTCTAACTCAATTACATCCAACTTTTTTAACTTGATTACATTCAACTTTTCCACTTTTCACAATCACACTACAAATCACAAAACAAAACCACAATACGTAAGAAACTTTATATAAACAATTAATCTAGATATTCAAATATACTAATGGTTATTATTACATAATTGTTGTTATTATTGACCGGATCACATACATAACAGAAGTTATATCTAGCGAATAAAAATTTATACACAGCAAATGATTTTTTTTAATTTTATGTTTACTTCTTATTTCTAGCTCAACTTCATATTTCTAGATTTATATTTAATAGGATAATATTTATGTAATAATATATAATGTAATAATATATAATATAATAATGTAGTATTTGTAGATGAAATAAAAATAATTCCCCAGTAAACACAATTATTAAATCTAAATGTCTTTAATTAGAACATATTTGGTATTGGTTTAAAATAAATACAAACTAGCTATAAGTACTTTAAGATCCATGACACTTTTTTAAAAATTACTAATAAAGTGCAAGTATGTGCAGCTAAAACTTAGGACTTAGTACCTCTGAGATACCAAGTCCTATTGATTTTTATGGACTTTGGATGTGAGGAGTATGAACAGAAGCACAGCTGTGCTTCCTTTTCATATCCTTTGCTTTATCTCGGTCCATTGCCTTTATTAAAAAGATAAAGTTTTATTAATGCTGGAATCAGTTGTTCTACTTATAAAAAAAGCTAAAACCAAAAATGACTTTTAATAAAACAATATTTTCAGCCAAATCTGCAATGTAAGCTTATTTGATTATCTCCAAGACATGCTAAATTTTAATTTTCCTGCCATGATTCCTTTCTTTTATTAAGTAGGGTATTTTCTATTCTTTAATATTTTCTTGAATTTTCTTACAATTTATAAGTTTATGTTGTTGATTAATACAAATGTAAATGTGAATTATTTAGCAGTTAAATGATAAATGATTATTGGTAATGTATTATCAATATATGTTTTTTTGTATTTATAGAACCCACTATTCCACCAATAACCAAGAATTTTACGATTAGTGATCTATTCTATGTCAAGATGTTTGATAGTAATTCTAGCCTCCAATTTTACAACATTACAGTTCTATGGATCAAACCTTTATTTGCAGTTCCAATAACACAGTATAAAATTGCGTATGGTCAACTCTCAAGTACATTGTTTCCTTTTAAAAATTATACAGAAAAAACAATTGCCTCTGTAGGTTATATTTACTATTTTTTACTTATATTTTTATTTTTTTAGTTTGTATTGTAGTCTATATTTTAAATCTAGTGTTAATGACCAACAACTTTTAAAATATATTCTAAACTGTTACACTGCTTCTCAACTTACAACTTACTTGTGTTACACTACTTTAGAACCACTTGCAGGACAACCTGCTTAATTTGCCTAACCCTTTTAATCAACAACTACACATGCCTGATTTCTGAAGAGATTTTACCTTTTAATTGTTTTATTGTAAAAAGCAAATAACTATGTATGCAACATTTATATGTGAACTTGGCATCTTTATAAAGAATAATTAAATCCTGGACGTTTTGCTTTCCTGGAATAGCATAAATTGATTCTACTGTTTCCCAGAAAAATATTTTTTGAGAAAATACAAATAATTTAAAAAAACTTTTTTTATGCTTATATATTCAAATATCTAATTTGTGAAAATATCTAATTTGTGCCCATATTCATAGTTTGTGCAAATATCTATTTGTGCAAACTTTAGGTAGTTGTTTCAAACAAATCAAATTGTTGATGCATAATTGCATGCATATATGTTGCAACTAATATTGAAGTTTTTTAAAAATTTTGCCTAAACATTCTAAAGTTAAGAATGTTTAGGCAATCTAACATTCTAAAATTAAGAATGTTTTGAAGAATTTTAAACTTAACTTGTTAATAAAACTAAGAAATACTTTCAGAAAAATCAAAGTTAAAATGGCGAAGTTAAAAGATTTAGATTTTCAAACTCTGTGGTTTTCGAAAATATATTTGGGAAGTTTAGATTTACAATTTATCAGTAGTTTTCTAAGAACGTTCCCTAATCATTTTCTAGTCTTTTTGTCATAAATGGGTAATAATAAATATGCTGGTAAATGATAAAATATATTGTTTTTAATTTTTTTAAAACAATGATTTTGATTTTTAACTTAGTATTTATAGTTTTTAAGTTAAATAATAGACTTTTTCCATGATATGAACCAGTTTGGCTTTTATAAATTTTATTTTATGCAACAATGATCAAAAATTAGCTTATCATCCTCACTTATTTATTTTTAACTTTTTAGAAAGTATTTGTGTTTTTTTCGTGTTTTATAAGTAAATAAGTAGTTTTTTATATATAATTTTTTTTTATTATTATTATATTCATTTGTTGTTTATTAGGATGCATTATCCTACAAGATCACTATGGTAACTCCAGGAATATTGCTTGGTGTTTATGTAAGCATATTTTCTTTGCTCAATACTTTTTTTTAATTTAACATATAGCTTTGATATTTAAAATATCTATTAAAAATGTTTATTAATGCATTTTTTTAGTTTATAGTTAAAAGGAAATTATTTAAAATTAATTTAAGTTTTTCATTACTTTTTTTTATTTTTTTACTTAATACAAATTAAGGTATATATAAATTTTTTTTTAATTCTGAAACTATTGTAATAATTATTAAAATAATTTCTGTTATTTTTGTAAAGATTTAATAAAATTAATTAATTGAGCTAAGTACATCTATAGTCTTTGATAGATGTACGTAGCCTTTTTATAGAATTTGAAAATAATACTAATTAAACTGATAAAATCTTTTATCAGTTTAATCAGAATTATTTTCAAATTCTACATTTGTATTTCTATATATAACCTGATACTTAGAATTTAGCATTGTTCTACTTCATGCTGATAGCATATATTCTACTTCATGCTGCTAGCATATATTCTACTTTATGTTAATAGCATATATTCTACTTGATGCTAATAGCATATATTCTACTTCATGCTGCTAGCATATACTCTACTTCATGCTACTAGCGTATATTCTGCTTCATACTGATAGCATATATTCTACTTCATGTTAGTAGCATATACTTTACTTCACGCTGGTAGCATATATTCTATTTCATGCTGCTAGCATATATTCTACATTATGTCTACCAGAATGCTATAGAATGTTTATGAAATTAGTTAATCTCAGAATGTTTTTAAATATTATTTGAATTAATAAATTACAAAGAATAATATTTCAGTTTTTACATTTCAAATCTTCTTAGCATTGATGGCTGCTTGGTTCAGCTGCCATTAAAACAATCCTGATTTTAATGTTTGATTTCAATATCAAAATTTCAAAATATATCTATTAAATAATATTCTGGGTATTGAGATATCTATGGGGAAAAAAATTTACTTTTCATATACAATTATAATAACTAAGAATGGCATTAATATAATCGAATGTAAGTTATAAACTAAATTACAAGTTCTTTGACCAACACAGAATCTTTCCTTTTGTTAAGAACAAAATAGTGTTGCCATCAAATATCAAATGTTAAAACATTATGTAAATATATGCGTGCAGGTAAACATAGGTTTAAAGATACCTTGATATAAAGATAACTGTTGATATAAAGATTTATTAGTTGAATCTTTTTTTTTCCAGCTTTATGCATTTACTGGAACTGCAATAGATGCTTATCGGCCATTAAATGTCCCTGATTATATAATAATACAAGTTCCACTTGCTCCAACACAATGTAAGTAATTTAATTTTTTTTTCATGTTATGAAAATTGTTATGTGAATTTTCTGTAACTTTTCAAAATTACCATTTCATGTTTATGACATAACATTTTATGTTATCTTATAAAATGTTACATCATGAAATGTTACCTCGTAAGATGTTACCTAATAAAATGTTACCTAATAAAATGTTACCTAATAAAGTGTTACCTAATAAAATCTTACTTTATAAAATGTTACCTCATAAAATGTTACCTAATAAAATGTTACCTAATAAAATGTTACCTAATAAAATGTTACCTAATAAAATGTTACCTAATAAAATGTTACCTAATAAAATGTTACCTAATAAAATGTTACCTTGTAAAATGTAACTACATAAAATGTAGTTAAAACCTCTAACTACATAAAATGTAGTTAAAAATATTAGGTCACCTACAAAAATCTTGACTTATTAAGTTGTTCTACAAAAAGAATATCTACTAAAAAATAGAACTAATTTTCAGATATCCTACTGAGGCCTAAATTGTTATATTTTTTATTTTCAACCAATTTATGACGTTTTTGTTTTTGACCGATTTATTTTTCAACCTATTTTATAGATTTTCATTTTCAACCGATTTGAGATTTAAATTAATTTGCAAAAATTATCTGGTCTGTGTTTTTAACATTGTTTTTTTAAAATTACGAATTTTTTTTTTTATACTAAACAATCAATAAGTTTTCCAAGTATTCATCGAACCTTACACCTCCTGATTCTGAAGACAGCTCTTCAACCACTGCACCAAGGCTGATCAAATTTGGCTCCTATTCAAATCAACAACAAAGTATACAAAATACATACCGGAGAAGGGTAGTTATAAAATTTAAAATATATAGGTTGAAAATTCAGTAGGTCAAAAATACAGTAGGTCAACAATTTGTAGGTTGGAAAATTAGTAATACATGCTTCAATTAGGCGTAATTATAAAAATCAAAAATTGTTTCAGCTGAAAATCAAAAACGTCATAATTTATGATTTATGAAATTTCAAAATTAGGTTGAGTTATCGAGACCACTTAAAATGTTACTTCCTAAAATATTACCTCTTAAAATTTAATAAAAAAAGTGGTAACATTTTATGTTAAATTTTGATATTTGAGTTTTTGATTTTTTGTTTTCAAATGTTATATTTCAAATAACATTTGAAAATTGTTATTTTTATTTTCCTAATATATAAACTCTATAGAGGTAATCCATGTTGAAAACAAAATTATATCCAGTCCTTATTGGGAGGTTCATGCATTTTTCTTGTATGTCCTATATTTTTAGAATCAGAAAATTACAACATAACATCTTTGAGAAACAGCTAATTTTTTCCTTTAGTTGCATTTTTCTTTTAGAATTATTGTTTTGCCCAATGCTAACAACATGGGGGGGGGGGGAAGTGATTTTTTTCCTTTTCCTACATCAATGATCTGTTGAGATCTTGTAGGTGAGCTTCGGTTATATGAAATTACCATCCTAGTTTGAAAGTTTAAAATCAAGTCTCTGGTATACAGTTCTAGTTCTTCAATCTTAGAAACAATTATCTTGTTATATATTACATGTGACTCACACAGAATATTTATTTGTTATTCACATGCAAAGTTATAAAATAATCGCTACCTACTTTGAATGCTCTGAGGATGTCGAGACTTTGTAGGAATGATATAGGTGCAATCAACATAGTTCCAAGGTTTGTTGCTGCTTGGACCATCTCAGCCACCTCCATTATAGTCATTTCTGTTAATACCAACTGAACCTTCTATGTAATCTTTCAAAATATTGTTTTTCATTAAAACATCTTGAATTATGTTTAAGGAGAGCCATGGATGGGAAATTATATCAGTTATCTGCTTTTTATTTGCTAAAAGTCAAGGATCAATGACACTTTTGAATGCTTTCATTAGTTTATGTTTTCATTCAGCTTTGTATTGTTTATATCAGTTTAATAGACATTCTATAATTCTTATCTTTCAATCCACTGAATTGATTGTCTTCTTGCATTAATAACAGAAAAACTTGTCCTCATGAATCTAAATATTGAAACTGTTATTAAGCAAACTAAATAACAAAAAAATTGTTACCAAATAAATGTTGGTATAAATGTTAAAAAAAATTGAGCTTAAAATATTGTAAAATAACTTTTAGACAATCCAAAAAAAAATTCACTTTGTTTAGTTTAGTCAGTCTTATGAATTGAACATAAAAGTTGTCTTCATGAATTAAAGTTGTTTTTCTGAAGTTTTGATCAACAACAATTATTATAAACTTATTTCTTCTTATTTATATTATTATAAACATTTTTTACTCCAGTATACTTATTATTTTTATGCATATCTTTTTTAAATTTTTTCTGTAATAGTGTTTTACCCTACTTTATAAGTTCTCTCAAATTCACATTTTTTGTTCAAGATAGTGTCTACAAGACTCTATGATTTATTTTGAACTTGTTCAGATGCTTTATATTCAATATTTTTTCTTCCAAAATCATTCTTTATTTATAATTCAAGATTAAAACTATTAATATTAATTTTAAAACTATTAATTTTTAACTTGAATTATAATCTTGCAGATTATAATTCAAGTTAAGGCTATTAATTTTTATTTTAAAACTATAATTTTTAACTTGAATTACAATCTTGCAGGTTATAATTCAAGTTAAAACTATTAATTTTAATTTTAAATTAATTTTTAACTTGAATCATAATCTTGCAGATTATAATTCGAGATTAAAACTATTAATTTTTCAATATTATACATAGTGTTGAAAGGTATTTGCCATTTAAAAAAAAAAAAAAAAAACAACATACTATCCATTCATAGCATACTATAGTGACAGACCAAGTAAATATACAACTTAAAAAAAAATCACATATAAAGTTAAAAGGTCTTTTGATTTGACATGTGATACATTTTAATTTTATGCATATTAAAGCTGCTTTCTTTTTAGAGCTAAACAATTAGATTTTTAGAATATGGCTTTTAAGTGTTGTGTCACTGGATGCAGAGGTAACTACAATGTTACAAAATCTATGAAAGATTTTGTCTTCAAAATATAAAAAAAAATAGATGAACAAAAAAGATGGATAAGTGCTATATCTAGCACTTGTCCATCTTTTTTGAGCTGATTTCATCGAGATAATATTCCAGATAACCCAAATACTTTTATTTTTAAGGATTATTGGCCTAAAGACTATGAAAAAGTTTAACTTTACCATTAAGACCAAAACATCCACTATCTGTATTTTCTTGTGTAAAGTCCACTGGAACCACCAAGACCAATTACTAATTGCCATCTTTAAGAATATCTATGAAATATCTATGATAACTGTTTGCATCATCAATCTGGTGATATATTGGACAACTTGGTACATCTATATATTGATAAATTGGTAACTTGATACATCTGCTGATATATCGGACAACTTGGGTGTTCCAAAGTTTATTTTATAAATAAAAAATGATTTTTCCTTTGATAGCAATATTGACACCATAGTTATGGTGCACTTAGCACCATCACTATGGTGTTAAGCAATAAAATCTTTTTCTTATAATCAATACTGCAACACAATATTTGAGTTCTTTACCAATTGACCACAAGAAAAGTATTATTATTGAAAGGATGTTATGTAAAAACTCCTTAATGCTTATTGGTGAAAAAAAGTATTCTCCTGATATGGTTGCTAGGGCATTTGAGTACTTTTCATTGTTAAGTACTCTTTACTTTCGATTACCTGATAACTACAAACTACCAAATATATCTCTGATGACAAAGTTGTCATCTAAAATTAGAAATGTTAAAGATTATTTTTTAATGTTGTATTTTGACAAACGTTTTATTTCTCAAAAACAGGTTATTCTACTAATTAATGAAACTTATGTTAAAGCACAGTTAACATATTACAGAGGTAACATTTTTGGCAAATCTGTAAATTCCCCAAATGAATTAGTGAAAACAGTTTTGGGTTTAATGATTTGTTCTTTATTTGTTGGAAAACAGTTTTTATATAAAGCAAAACCAGTAACCGGTTTAGGTGCTAAGTTTTCAATATGATCAAACAATGCAAATAATTGAAACAATAAAAACTGTGGTGGTTATGTTATTGCTATTTTTTGCAACAATAACAAATAGTAAATAAAAAGTTTTTAGGAATGTTTAATCTCCCTGATACTTGGTGTACTAATGATAACATTTTCCTTCTGTATGTTTTACAATTTGGCTCACAAAAAAATGCCAAAAACTATGTTTTGCAAGATGGCCAAAATCTTAAAAAACTTTTTTCAATTTGAAAAAGATGTTTTTTCAATGCCACTTTAAAAAAGAGCCATCTTAAAAAATTAATGATTTATGGCTTTTTTTTTTCTCAAATATAAAAAAGATATAAGAAAAATGATTTAAGAAAAAGCAAAAAATAGTAGGAAGAGCTTTGTGATACAAAAACAAGATATAATTTTTATCTTGTTTTTGTATCTGTGATCAGTTATCTGGTTAAAATATCAGTTCTTTTTATAGATTTTAGTTTTTTTTTTCTAAGATCTAATATCAGTTCTAAATAGTATCTGGGTTACTTTAATTAGAATATATTTTGAACAGCTGACTTTTTTGAGCATTGATGATTTTTTTCCCTATGACCTAAAAACATTCTCCTTAAAAAGAGAATTGGTTGGTGATAGTATGCTTTCATTCACAACACTTTCATCAAAATATTCTGACAAATTCAAAATGGTATTTTTTTGATAATTTTTTTTTCCTTTTTCACAAGAATCTTTACATTTTTCAGTAGCTGTCCATTATGAGCATAATATTTTTTAACTTCTGTTATACTATTAGTTGCATGAGTGTATATGAGTATACTTACCAACATTAGTTGAAGAAATTCAGATTTTTTACTTGCCATTCCAGATTCATGTTGAACTAAATTTGGAAGATTTTTTTCTTTCTTTTGTAGATTTTCTAGATTGTTAGTAATCTATATAGTTTTGAACTATTTTTTGTTTTGTTCTCAACTTTTTATTAAGTTAATCTCTAGAGATTTTGCATGCATTCATACAAGAATTGAAGAATACTGCAGTTTTGAAGCAGAATTAAAGAATACTGCAGTTTTGAAGCAGAATTGAAAAATACTGCAGTTTTGAAGCAGAATTGAAGAATACTGCAGAAGAATTAAATATTAGTATATAATATTATAATATTATATAATGTGTGCTATTTTCCTACACACAAGAAAGCTCTTATTAAATATTGGAAGCATGTGTGCTATTTTCCTACACACAAGAAAACTCTTATAAAAATTGCAGTTTAAGTAATATTTAAAGTGAATGGTTTGTGTACATTTTATTTAAAATGTCCTGAAGGAATAGGATTGTAGGAATGGAATTTTTTACTTAAATTTCAGATTAGGTAATTTATTTGTATGATGTTATATATAAATGATATAATTATGTCTTTATAAAATTAAAAAAATTTTTTGAAAATAAAGATTTGTGCAGCAAGATTGGCAGAGACCAAAAGGGTGACATTTATGGAACTTGAATAACCAGCATCCACCAACTATTTCACAATTCATTTAGGGCTTAGAGTCCAAAATTTTACATTTTTTGTCTTTTGTTTAGATAACAAAAACAGATTATTTGTTTGTTTTACATAGTGATTTGATTGCCCTTGCAGGTTCATGTTGAACTAAATTTGGCAGTTTTTTTCTTCTTTCATTTGTGGATTTTCTAGATTGTTGGTAATCTATATAGTTTTGAACTATTTTTTGTTTTGTTCTCAACTTTTTATTAAGTTAAGCTTTAGAGATTTTACATGCATTCATACAAGAATTACTGCAGGGTTAGTAATGTCCAAAGTGAATTTTTTGTGCACAAATCATTCAAAATGTCCTGAGAGAATTATACTGATTGTTATTAATATCTCAAGGGAATAATACCAATTGTTAATAATGACATTATCACTTTCTTGTGATGAAGTACAAAAGATAACTAATAAAACGCCGCATAAAAATGTGTGAATCTTTTTTATTATTGTTTCTTTTTTAGCCTCTAAAAGTACTGGAACTAGTAAGTTAGTTAACTTTAAGTTTTCAAATGTTTTCTTAACGAAATATTTTTGTTGCTTATTTTAATTTTACTTGTAATTGTTATTGTTTATTATTATTATTATTATTATTATTATTATTATTATTATTATTATTATTATTATTATTATTATTATTGTTATTTATATTATTGCTACCTTTCCTGACTTTTTATCTTTTAGTCTATCTATTTTTTCACTTGTCATGCTTTCTCAGCTTCTTGTTACTTAATCTTACTCTCTTCATCAAACACTTTTTAATCATTTTCTTTGTTATATTTTTTTTAGTTTTTTCTACTTTCACTTTAATTTTTTAGTTTCACTTCCTTTACCAGCTTCAGGAAATAGTAAGTTTATTTAGTTTTTTAAACGATTATCATAGAACATTAAAATGTGAAATCTTTTATTTTATTTTCAATTTTTATAACTACATTTTTATTTATACAATTTTAAGTTTTTATTAACTTTTAAACAGACAGATGGTGGTGGTGGTGTTATTTTTTGGGCATTAAACCTAAAATTTTAATTATGGTTATATTTGTACCAAGTTAAATGATCATAAGTTTGTTGTGATTTAATTTGGCTTTAAATACATTTATGTATACTAATTAGATGTATATTTACTAGATGTATACTTACTAGATGTATACTTACTAGATGTATACTTACTAGATGTATACATACTAGATGTATACTTACTAGATGTATACATACTAGATGTATGCATACTAAATAAATACATACTAGATGTATACATACTAGATGTATACAAACTAGATGTATACATACTAGATGTATACATACTAGATGTATACTAGGGTAATAACTATTTTCATTTTTTTTTGTAATAAAACTGAAACCTATCACATTTGAGGAACAATTATATGCAGATGTCAGTAGCAACGTTAATTTTTTTTAAAATTGAAAAAAGTTCCCCCACCTTTCAATTTTTATTTTTTCTTATATCCTTCAATGAGGTATTTTTACGAATAAACAATACCATGATAATGATCAACGATCACGTGATGGATAAGAGATGCTTTTTCGATTACTTTGAGCCTATTTGTTTACATAACTATAACCTTTCAATCACTGATCTGTATATATTATATCTATGCTCTCTAAAAAAACAAAAAATAAAGCCATTATTCCGTTATTAACCGATCAATTATATTTATCCATCACGTGACGTTTTTAAAAAGTTTTCCGGCTCTATTAAAATACCTCATTTGTTTAACAATTTAAATTTCACACTGACTTTTTATGTAATGTTCTAGGCTGCTTTTAAGCACATTTCTGTCAACTTTCTGTTTCTATTTGTTTATAAGAAAAAAACATTTACAGATGGTAGTTAACTTTTTTATTTTTATTGATCCCAGTTTAAACAGTGGAAACTCGCTCCAACATGGGGCAAGTTTAGTAAAAATAATTATTTTCAAACTGTCAAATTCTTGGAAACTTCACTTTTTTGTTCAATAGCAAGAAACGGCGACTGGATCGAATCAAGATTATGATTACAGGTATAAAAAAGCTTTGGAAGGAAATTCTAGACTTTCCACTGTTATTCAGTGCACTCATAAGAAAGAAGCTCAACAGTTTGATTGATTTATTTAACAAAAAAAAAAAGAAACCATTTGATAAATTCACTGCAACACTTTCTCAGTTATTTGATGTCACCAACGTTAATGGAGAATGTAAAAAAAAAGAAGGAAGATAAAAAGCTCTACCAGACCCAAGTTTAGAGTGGAGGAAAGATTGGTTATTCAATGGTCAAACAAGCTTTTCTAGAATCAATCCACCCAAGAAAACGAATCCGACTATCAAAAACTCAATCCCAAGCCAGCTCTTCTCAATTGCATCCCACACAAACACATAAAACTGTCTTAGATTCTTCGGATTCTGAAACTTCTATTTTCTCACCCGATTCGCAAACCTCTTCTACTACGTCATCTCCTGAATGCAAACCGAAATACCAAAGAGCCAGCACTACAGCAGCTGGTTTACTAGTATTGAAAAACAACATTTCTACACAAAAAGCACATGACGTTCTCGCAACCATTGCTAAACAAGGCCACGATGTGCCGGTTCCAAGTCAGGCGGGTGTCTGGAAAAGAGTAATCTCTGAAGGACAGAAAATGAAAACCAAAATTGCTCAAAAACCTAAGGGCAAAGATCCATATTGTCTTCAGTTTGATGGTAAAAGAGTGCATAGGGAAGAATACCAAGTAGTTCTGCTGAAAAATATGGCTACCAAAATCAAACTCGGTATCTTAAATGTGAGAGTGGTTCTGCTGCGGCCATTCACAAGGAACTACATCAGCTAATTGATGAATACAATAATTGGAAAAATATTTGCATGATAATCTGTGACACGACTGCAGTAAATACTGGTTGTCTGCATGGGATTGTAAAGCTAATACAAGATGATGTTTTGAGCAAGGGCTTTCAGAAACCACAATATATTGGCTGTCAGCACCATGTTCTCGACCTCCTTCTGAAACATGTCATGAATTTTTTTATTCAAGAGCCAATGAGCAAACCAGAACTCAATTATTCCTTGATTGATAAATTAACAGAGAATTATGTTTCTCTTCAGGATGATTATCGCCTATATGCCACAGATGATGATAACACAGGCAAAAACCCTGCATAGGGAGATGATTTCAAGTTCTTATATGAACTATGTCAAGCGTATCGTCATTACAAAACAACTTCACGATGGCCTCAAATAAACTGGAAGAAACTCCCAAATGTACACCAAGCAAGATGGAACTCATGTGCAATATATACTGTTATAGCATTATTCCTAATGCCAGAGTGGCGCACCACCCTTGTTCCAGCATGAGACTTCATCTGCTACGAATGGGCAAATGCTTGGTTCCATTTGCAACACTACAATGAAGCATCCTTCAATGGACTATTAACCTCACTCATCAAGATAAAATTCAAGAAAGCAATTGTTTAAAGACACATTAGTCAATCAAGGAGTCATTAATTGATATTCCCAGATCTAACCAAATTGCTGAATGTGCGGTAAAACTGATGAAGGAGCTTCATGAAGAATCAAGAAAATTTGAGTTTTTGAATTTGAAGTTCCTTGGAAAAAATAACTTTTAAACATTTCATGTATATTTTGTACATATTACTAATGTTCTCTATCTTATTTGTTCATAAAAGTTGCTTAGATAAGCTATTACTTTTATTATTTTAGATAAAACTAAAAAACATGTCCTTTTTTGAAAAAAAAACATTTTTTCATTTTTCTTTTCCTGTGTGAGTGGGGAACTTTTTTAAAAAACATCAAAAATGCAATTTATATTCTTGAATTACACATAAAGTTTCCTCGAATGCAAGTGGTTTCATAAAAAAAATTTTTTTGTTATAACCCTAATGTATACATACTAGATGTATACATACTAGATGTATACATACTAGATGTATACATACTAGATGTATACATACTAGATGTATACATACTAGATGTATACATACTAGATGTATACATACTAGATGTATACATACTAGATGTATACTTACTAGATGTATACATACTAGATGTATACATACAAGATGTATACTTAATATATTTATGCTATACCATTTATACTGGTAAATTTTAGTAAATAATAATTTTATTATACTATACCATTTTTTTTGGAAACTGGTTTTTTTGGTTAAGTTTTTAACATTTTAAGAAAGACATTTACTTTTTTGTGATATATTTATTGTTGCATTTATTAGTTTGCTTTTGCTCAAAATGTCAGATATTATGAAACATTACATTTTAAATAAAGGAAAACCACTGACTTGCAAAATATGTAAAATTACCTAGGTAAAAAATATAGAAATCCAAATTATCAAAAAAGTCTTATTCCCTACTTTTTTCCCAAGGCAATTAATTGAAGAAATGATTTCAAGATTTACAACACTGGTTGAATTTGATTTTATTTGCCATTGTTTAAAAATTGTTTACTGCTCCTTCATTCAATATTGTGTTTAATTTCTGATTTTGATTCAGCATTTGACCAAAAAACAGCGTCACAAAAAACTGCATTACAGCTCATACTTCAAATTTAAAGTCATTTTGAAAGAAATCTTGGTCTATGAAGCTACTGGAAAAAGAACTGTCAATCTTAAACTTCCAACTTCCAATTATATAAGTTACTATTTTGCTCTCTAAGTTTATTTGAATATTTTTTTGTTATTTTGAATATTATTTTTGTATTAATTCCCGATTATCACAATTATAAAAACTATTGCAATAACTTTTATTTAAATTTCAAAATTGAAATTTAAAAATCTATATTAATCTTAGAAAAACTCTGTATTTATGGGTCTGTATTTTGAGTAATGGTTGTCTTGGATTTAATTTAATTTTAATTTTCTTGGATTTTTTGCATGATATTCCCTATTTAACACTAGGGTTGATCTAGTTTGATGAAAAATCCTTTAATGATAATATCATTTGATTACCTTGGATTGGATTTATAATGCATTGTAATAAATAAAAGGCTTTGAAAACAGCAGTTATGTAGTTTTCAGGAAGAAAACTCTTTTTTGCAGTTCTTTTGCTTGTTACTTCAAAAACCAACATTTTTTTGAAATAGACCTTAACTTTTCATATGAGTTTTGTTTTGTCTTCTTTGCTGAATTTTGAATGGCTTCTTATAACTATTCTTGGAGTGAAATTTGTTCTTTATTGTCTTTGGAAAACAAAGATTTGGCAGTTTTCTTGAGAACAGTTTTTGACGTTGAAAATTTCATCTTTTTCAGCCTTGTGAAGGCAAAATAGACAGATGTTTTGTCATCTCTCATCAAATCACTTTATAATTGCATCTCTCATTTAGATGCAAAGACTCTATTTTTTATGGTTCACTTTGTTAATCAGGAAATGAAGATTCCCTCTGCAGTTAAAATTCATTTTTCTTGCAAAGTGCTCCTGCTGCCAATTGACATTTTCAATCGCATTAACTATGTCAGTTAAAATGTCAAACTCTACTTCATCAAATGAGATTTGAAGGAATGTCAGTCAGAACAATTCTAGTTTGATCTTTGTTTTTGAGAATCTTTTCCAATAAATTGTTTAATCTTGCTGATCATAAACCATTCCATCTTGCTGATCATAAACTGTTCTATCTTGCAGATCATTAATAGTTCCATATTGCAGATCATAAACCAATCCATCTTGCAGATCATAAACAATTTTATCTTGCTGATTATAAACTGTTTTATCTTGCTGATCATAAAGTATTCAATATTGCTCTAATATAAAAGCAAATTCTTTTCACAGTTTTTTTTTTTTTTAACTTCTTGAAGAATTTTGAAGACTGAAGATTTTAAGAACAACTTTTTGAAGAATTTTGAAGACTGGAGATTTTAAGAACAACTTTTTAATTTTTTGAATTTTTTAGACTGAAATAAATTTTATTTAGGAAAGGAATGCTGGGATATCTGACCAATGAAATCAATGCTGTAGTGGATATCTGACCAATGAAATTAATGCTGTAGTAGATATTTGGCCAATGAAATCAATGCTGTAGTGGATATCTGACCAATGAAATCAATGCTGTAGTAGATATTTTGCCAATGAAATCAATGCTGTAGTGGATATCTGATCAATGAAATCAATGAACCTAGAATTTTTTTCATTGTCAGATTTTTATTTTTTTTTTGCTTTGCTGTCATTTTACACTTAGGGGCATTTTCCTCATCAGAATTGTAAGTACAAAAACTCCTGAATAACTTTACGATAAACGCCAGATAAACTTTATGAGTATTTGATGATGCTCTTTGTTTGATTTGCTTTTTAGTTTAGTGTAGCAAGTTTGATGTTTAGTAGGAGCATCAAACTTGCTACACTCATGAAGTTAATTAACATTGAAGCTACGTCATTGATAAAACAAACAGCACAATCAGCCTAATTCTGTCGCTTTTTATGTTGCTCTTTCTGCAGGAAGTGATTTAAGTCCAAGATTCCAGTGTATAGTTTTTTCTGGTTAATGTAGATGTTTAGAAATTTTCTGTTATTTAAGGAAAAGTTTTCATCCAGTATAATAGAAAAATATTCTTATCCATTGGCAATGATCTTTCAGCTCATTTTTGACACTTTTTTTACTAATTTTTACTTTCAGCTCATTTTTGAAGATTTTTATACTAATGAATAGCTTGTTTGTGATTTTATTGGTAAATTTTTCTGTTATTAAATGAATAAGACTGTCCTTTTTATTAATCATGTTAATATGTATTCCTTTTGATTAATGTTCTTTTTGTTAAAACATTAAAACTAAATCCATCTAGAGCTGCCTGTTTTAAGAGAACTACTCCAATTGACTCATGGATTAAAGAAAAATGCTTTTTTTGTTATAGAAATTTTGGCATCATTTTTGTTCATAGGATCTTTTATTTCATGTGTTTAATCAAGGTGCGACTATATTCCTGTTGTACCCTGTGAACTGAGATTTATTTTCTCATTTCTTGCACACACTTTTATATCAATCATTTTCATGTTTTCAGATATCTGACATTTTTTGTTACATTATTTTAATTGGGTGCATTTATAGACCACTTAATCCTAAAGTAATCATAAAATTAAGCAAGTTATTTATAATGAAATGGTCTTAAATGGTAAATATAATAACATTTTATTAGCAGGAGAACTATTCTAATATTAATTGTTTAAATGGGGGTTAGTAAGGCATGATTTTGGGTCATTCTGGATTTACTTATTACAAATGAGGAAAAACTAAAATTTTAGATATAAGTATATATAAATAAAACCTCATTTAGGCAAAACAAAGCAAGGTCATCTTATATTAATGTGGTATTATGATATTAATAAATATGTTAGAGTTTTTTATAATAGAAAATATAATTATTCTAGAGAAGATTATAATTCCTTCAACAGGTTTATTGAAGATAAAAGGTGGAGTAGCTTGTTTTTAGAATGTGAGATTATCAAATGTTTTAATCTTCTACTTGAATGTTTTAATCTTCTTCTTGAGAATATACAGTTGTTTGAAATTTATTAAGAAAAGAAAGGTAATAGGGCATATTCATGAACCGTGGTTTAATAGCAAAGTCAAACAATTGTTGAAAGAAAAAAATTCACAATGGCAAAAGTAAAAAGCCAGTGGCAGAAAAATTGAGATTCTCCATGATTATAAAAATTTACAAAAACTTACATCTAAAGAAATTAAAAGAGTGGTGATGGAGTTTAAAAAAAAAAAAAAAAAACAATTACAAAAGTAATCCAAAATCATTCTATTCTTATGCAAACAAATATAAGCTACAAGGTTCTGTAAAAGTATTAAAAATAATCAGAACAAATTAACCTAAAAATGAAAAAAGATGTGCGAAATATTGGATATCAAATTCCGTTTGTTGAGGGCAATAGTTTAGAAAATTATAGTTTGTATGAAAGGACAAACTCCAAACAATTTTTTGATACATATACAGTATTCTTCTACAGTATTCTCCTATAAAAACGTTCTGGAAAAAGTTGCATCATTAAATCATAATAAATCTATGGGTTATGATTCTATTCTTCTAGCAGTACTGAAAAATTTGACCTCAAATAATTCAGTACCCCTCTCTATGTTGTTAATTAAATTGTTCATATCTTCTACTTTGCCAAACAAATAGCTATTGGCAAATGTTGTTCCATTATCTAAAAAGGAAAACAAAATTGAACATGGAAACTATCAACCTGTGTCTTTAACATTAGTTTTGTGCAAGTTAATGGAAAGTTTGGTTAAAGTTAGCCTAATATTTTACTTAAATAGCAACTAGATAATCCAAACCAGCATGGATTTTCCCTTTAATAAGTTGTACTACTAACTTGTTAGAAACTTATGATTTTCTTATTATCTAAATTTATCAAAACCCATAGATATTATTTATTTTGATTTTGCCAAAGCATTTGATGTTTCCCATAAAAAAATTATTTATAAATTAGGCAAATATGTGATAGATAATCAATTAATAAAATGGATTCATGCTTTTTTGACCAATAGAAAATAAAGAGTCTTATATGAGACCATATTCTACATTAAAATGGATCAGGTAACTAGCAGAGTACCTCAAGGCTTTGTGCTGGGACCCATATTATTTGTTCTATACATTAATGATATGTTTGACAAATATTACATGTCACTGTAAACTGTTTGCAGATGACACAAAGATATTAGCTGCTGTTTCTAATGAAACATTTAAATTTACAAAATACTGTTGATAAAATATGTGAATGGGCTAAAACATGGTCTATGACTTTCAACAAAGAAAAATATAATATCTGCAAAAATATAATGCATTTTGGTCAAAATAACCATAATTACAGCTACAAACTAAGTAAACATAAAATGGAAACAACTGAAAAAAAAAAGACGGGTATATTGTTCACAAAAAACCTTTAATGGAAGGAACATATTGCAACTGTAACTTAAAAAGCAAACTGTTTTTTAGGACTAATAAGGAAATCGTTCAAAAGTAATAACAGAATTGTAATAAGACTATTGTATCTATCATTAGTAAGACCTCACCTGGAAAATGTAGTGCCTGTCTGGTGTCCACACTTAAAAGGTGACATTATAATTGTAGAATGCATACAAAGAAGAGCGACAAAAGTTATTAATGAGTTAATAAATTACAGCTACCAAGACCGGCTAAAAAGATTAGGAATTATGTCTTTAGAGAGCAAAAGCAAGGGGTGACCTCAATCTATCAATATAAAATCCAAAAGAGAAACAAAACTATCAATTGTATAAATCTTTTTAATACCAACCAACTGCATTTAAGAAATCAGCACTCCATCACAAAGCAGATCATAAAATCGTGTTTACCAAGAATCATAAATGATTAGAATAAACTAAGTTCACAAACAGTAATTCAAAAAACTATAAACAAATTTAAAAACAAGATAGACAATTTAAAGACTATTAAAATGCAACTTTATACTGGATTCAGTTTTTTTTTTATAAAACCATAACCTTGTAATATTATTATTATTTTTTTTTTCATTATTATTGCTTTTATAACTTTTGTTAAAACTGCTTGGAATTTTTAATTCTTTTAATTTACCACACAAAATATATTTACACCAATAAAATTTAAAATTTTTGTCTTATGGTATTTTCAAATAATAAAAAATTGATGCTGAAGCCCTATAACAATTGACAACTTAAATATTTTTACACAAATTAAAATCTTTGTACCTTATCATTCAGATTAAATTATTTGAAAGTAACATTTTTATATCTCTATAACATAATTTTATAAATTGTTGTGATTTATATATTTAATTAAAAAAAAAAAACTGACCTTTTTTTATTTACTAGGCATGTTATGCTATATTTAACTTGAAACATTGTTATATGTCAGCATAAAATACATTTTTCTTTTTTAATTTTTTACATAAAACAGAAAAAAACTTTACAAAAGTTTTGCAAAATCAAAATGTTTTATTTGAAAATTTTTTTGTGTTTAGAAAACACATCTACAATCATTGCTGCCATCTTAGTTCCTATACTTGTTATTTTTATTATTCTTGTTACTGTTGTTGTTGCGATGAAAATTCGTAGGAAAAAAATAAAATCTCGACCATCAGTCTGGAACCAAGATCTTTGCACAATGGAGTAAGTGTTAAACTAATACACATACATACACACACACACACACACACACAAATATATATATATATATATATATATATATATATATATATATATATATATATATATATATATATATATATATATATATATATATATGTACACTCCTAGACCAGTTGCTTTACAGTGACTTGCACAAAAATTTGACTATAAAGCGACATTTTTTGCGCTATAACAACTTCACTAATCTTATTGTTACTCTTTTGAGCGTAAAAAATGATGAGTGGTATACAAAAAACCTCATAACAGTGGTATGCAAAGAAAAGTGTTACCTTAAAATGTTACTTTAAGATAGATAGGATAAAGTTGTTGTTTAATACACATTAGTAGTGTAGACATTGATTAGTGGTGTAGAGGTAAAATGTTTTCTTTGTAAACCTAAATTTTGTAAAGCTAAACTTGTTTCTCTATGCAGTGGCTTTGTTTCTTAAAATTTGAAGTTAACTGGCTTGGCAAAATAACAAAAAATTAACAATAAAAAAAAAAATTTTTTTACTTTCATTGGAAGTTCCTCTAAAAACATTAACTTGAGTGTAGTGGCTCTACAAAGTTTTGTTAAAGTAAAAAATACAGTAAAAAATAATTTTAGCAAATTTTAAACCAGATTTGATATTTATATATTTCTATTAGAAGAGGATAGTATTTTATTTATAATATGTCAATTAAAAGGGGAGTCTTAAAAAATAACTTAGATATGCAAAACAAATATATAAGAAGATTATTTATAATGATGAATCAAAAATGAAACCAAAACTTTTTTCACTGTAACAAAATAAGAAATTTTTAAATTTTCAAATAAGTAGAGTAGATTATTTTTTTGGTATGTTTTGAAGTGTTTCCATAACATTTTTATTTTAGTGTTTCCTTGAGTCAAGTCAAGGATTCACAATCTAAAGCTTGTATTAATTTTCTATATTATATATTATTAGTTTGTTTTTTTATCTCCTATTATTTCAATAGATACATGGTAATTATTTTTTAAAAAAACAATGGGCTTTGTTTTAGAGACTACATGGGTATTGATTTTCAAGCAGATGAATGGGAGATATTTCCTAATAGCATTGTTTTAGATAAGAAAATTGGTGAAGGTGCGTTTGGAACTGTGTATATTGCAAAACTCAACGGTGATATTTTTGCTAAGACAAAATATGCAAGTCAACAATCTAAATCTGCTTTTCATGATAGTAATGTAGATACTAATGTAGCAGTAAAACTTTTGAAAGGTATTATGTTGTTGTTGTTGTTTTTGTTGTTGTTGTTGCAAATGATTATGCTACAACTTATTTTTCAACTACTTTGTAATTAATTTGTATCAATTAATGCCGTTTGCTTGTAGTATAGTTTTAGTTGAGTGTTCTCTTGGTGTGTGCTACGGAGTTAAAACCCATGACATGGAAGTCAAAATGTTTCTTTGTGTTGTTTGACAAGTTAAATGGCGAGTTTGTGTTTTTAAGTTATAGGGTTGTAATAACCGTTTTAGAAAAATGTTTTTTGAAAAAAAAAAAATACAGCATCTCAGTTTATAGTTGCTGTTTAGGTTTTCAGGGAGGTAAGTATTGCAAAGAACAGTCACTTGTGTTTTAACTGTATTTTTATTGTTTGGTTGCAACATGTAGTTTGTACTGTGTATATACACTATTATTAATGTTATAATTACACCATAAATATTTAAACTTTTATTGATTTTTTGTTGTATTTTAATTATTTTTTGCTTTATTTTAACTACTTTTTGCTTTTTAAATACAGATGGTGCCAGTCATTCTGAATATTCTGATTTTAGAGAAGAAATAGATCTTATGAAAGGAATTGGGTATCATAAAAATATTGTTAATATGATAGGTTGTTCAACAATTAAAAAGCCCTTATGTTTAATTGTTGAGTATATGGAAAACGGAGATTTGTTGCAGTTCTTGAGAAACAGACGCACTAAGGTAATATCATAGTTATATATATATATATATATATATATATATATATATATATATATATATATATATATATATATATATATACTAGTTTATACGATTAATATAACTTTTGAGTGAACTACTAAGTTTACAACATGAATAATGTTGTGAATTTAGTAGTTCACTCAAATGAATGAATAATGCTCAGAAAAATTTCATTGGTGAGGATCTAATATAAATTTTTAAAAAATCCTATAAACAATATTTTTTTTGTTATCAATATGTTTGTTTTATTTTTTTATTTTTTGAAAAATCTCTACTCATTTTTTAACAGTTAAAAAACAGACATGAATAATTTGTCACACACAGTCATTCGGAGTAAGAGATATTTGCTAACAAACATAACGTTCAAACACTTTAAGTATTATTCAGCATTTTACTCCACTGCAAACCCATTGCTCAACTTGGTGCACTGAAAACCCATTGCTCAACATCAATAATTTCAAAAATATACCAGGGTTCTGGGCCAATCAAAAGAAAAAATGTTGTTTCAGAAATCAAGAATTGAAATAATTTAAAGATTTGCAATTTTTATCATTTTTATCATTTTAACAATTTCATTGTTTCATGTATAATCTTTAAATTTAATTCTAGATCATTTATAACTACTTTAGATTAATTGCATTTATTTTCTGCACAAAATTAATATGTAATTGCATTTATTTTCTGCACAAAATCCTTTTTTTGAAATGTTAAAAGCTTGTTTAATTCAGATATAAAATGATCTATAAAACATAAAATCTTTGCTCTACAAAGATTTTATGTTTTATAGTATGAGCAGATTTTATGTTTTATAGTATGAGTATTTACCTTTAGATTTTATGTCTGGAGCGGGCCTTTGAATGATGCTCTTTCTCTTTTAGCTAAAGTGCTAAAAGGCATTGTAAATATAGTTGTAGCTGCACTTGCAGCCAACCTTCAACCATTGTAATATTGTCATAATGTTACTTCTCTTTCTCTTTTCTACAATTAATATAATGGGCGCTGCTCTAAAGAGCTATCTCTTGTACCATCTGCTAAAATTCATTCTTGTGTTTATCGTCACTCTCTCTGTCAGTGGTTGCTTGCAGCCCTGTTGGAATTGAAGGTGTTAAAAAAAAAAAATTCAAGAAATCTCATTTTTACCATTTTAGTGTATTTTTTAATGACATTTGCTAATTTGTTACTTTGTAAATAATATAAATAAATGTTTTATTGATAATAATTACTAAAAAGTTAACAAAAATATGAGAATTAAGAACAAATATATTATTTTTAAGTTTATTAATTAACTAACTTGAGCTTCATTCTGAATATTCCAGCTAAATTAAATTCTCACAGGTAGCCAATGTAGTGAACCAGTGTTCAGTTTGAGAAAAATGTTATTAATGTGCAAAAAAGAGTTTAACAGGTCCATTTTATTTGAATTACAAGCAAGGTACCCATCTGTAAACCTAAGGTAACCATCACCCATGAATTACAAGCAAGGTACCCATAAATATTTTTTTATCTGGTTCTCCAATTTTCTCTACTTCTACCATCTGGTCAATGTGCTATCTTGCATAGACCAGACCTTTTGAATTGTAAAACAGCAGTTCATGTTAAATATTTTTGTCAATGCAAACATTCATTTTACATGTTGTTTATGCTTTTTTATACTTTAAAAATAGATGATTAAAGAGTAACAAAATAGACAAAATGGCAGCAACAAATTACACTATGACATATAAAAAAAGGAAAAACCTGCTTTTAAAATTTCAGTCCTATCAGTTCTTGAACTTTAGCAGAAGAATTGTTGCAGCAATCAGTCTCATTCTACCAAAACTTCTTTGAAAAGCGTCTTGAACTGCTGTAATAAGGAGCCGACATGTTTTATAAAATGTCTATCTGATGTTTTTATTCGTCTCAGGCAGAAGAATGTCTATTGCTTTCACAACAGGTTTTATAACAGTGCAATATTCAATCAGCAAAATAATATCAGCTGGGTTCAGCAGGACTCGCAATAAATGCAAATTTATAGACATTTCTTGCAGAAATAGGTGTGGGTTAAATGTTAAAAAAATATGGCTAGAAGGACTTTAATATATTATTTTAATCAGTATTATTTTATACTTATTTGATTACATTATATAATTAAACTAACATCTTCAGACCAGCAATCAGTAGTTGTAACAACATACCTGACTTTATTGAAGTGTGAGAGAAAAGTTTTTTTTAAAACTGAACGACAGCATTATAAATTCTGATCTGAAAAAAGGGTCTGCATATGACTTAGCAATATGAACTCAGTGTATGTAAAAGATCTTTAAAAGAAGGTTGTTCAAGAAAAGACAATGGATGAAAACTGTGACAAATAAATTTGGTGGACTTTTTTCTATGACACTTTTGTTTAATATGCTGAATTTAAAATATTTACATTCGTTATTAAAATTTTTTATCGAAATTATATTTTGCTTTACGTTTCCTAGTGTACATTTATAAAACTAAAGTATAAGTGTGTGAAAGAAAGACTAAACATTGGCAATGTTTCAGAATCCTACAGCAGACATATGTAACTACAGGATCCTGGAGCTACCTACAACATTTGTGCAAACTAACCAAAGTACAAAGTAATATTATAAAAGTATACAATTAATATTAAATTACCTCAATATGTCTGCAGATGTTTGATGGAGAGTGTTAACATCCTCCCAGTTCATTCAACTTGGGCAAACAGTTTAAATTCTTTTGGAATATTTTCAACAGTGTCATTAACAAAGAAAAGATTCCACCTCTAATTCATGGACCTGATCCTGTTACCTTCCCCAACAATAAGGCAGAATTATTTGCAAAAAATATTACTTCAAAACTTGAATCAAATGGCTACACTCTTCCTGTCATTACAGAGAAAGAGATTAATTGATTGTTAAACATTAAAATCATTCTGGCTTTGGTTGTTAAAGTTATTTCTTTCTTTCGCAAAGGATTTGATCCTGATCAAGCTTGTAAAAATAAATTTAAAAAAATCTGTAATGAAGATATTGATAAATTATATCATTGTTGATTTTCTCTTTTTTTCAGTTTTAAAAAGTACATACACATCTAGCACAAATTTAAATTTACTGTAATTAGGCATGAATCGCAGTTAAATGTTTTTCTTCAAGACCATACTTCTTTTTAAATTTTTTTAAAATTGAGTTTCTTTTTTGCTGGCGCCATGTCTGAACTATTTTGAAAGCACAACAAATATGGTTTTGCACAACTTTTACTGTCTGATAGAGCTTTGTCCTACCACACAGTAAAAATTGTCATTTTGACAACCAGCTTCGATATTGATTTTTTTTTTACCCTATTGGTTACTCCATGCTCATGTGAAGTAGCATTTTCTTCAAACGTTTCAAGAAAACAAACAAAACAACATATCAAGTTTTAACATTATATTTTTAAGAACGATAAAAAAGAAATACATATTTATTTATTTAAAAGAAAATATTTGCAAGTTTGTTTTGCATTTTTTTATAATTGAATGTTAATTATTGTTTTCTGTTATATCTATACCTTTTGTTTTAAATCAAAACAAAGTTATAAATGTATGTGGTTTTTAGCTTTGTTCTTCAAAGATTGATGGAGAACCAGCTTTAAGCTTTATGTACACACCAGGCTATCAACAATCTCTTGAGGTTCCTTATTTCTCTTTTTTATTTTAAATGCATACATTTTTACTATAAAACAATTCTTATATTAAATTTCTAAAACTTTTTATAAAAAGTTTTATTCTAGACAACAACTTCAGAGAGTTTCACAGGATTGATGCCTAATAATGTACCACTAGATGAAGAAGTAATAACACCTGAGGATTTACTTAGTTTTGCATGGCAAGTGGCATCTGGAATGGTATGTTTTTTGTGAAACAATTTTTTAAATATTCTATGCCAGGTAAAAAAAATTTTAATACAGAAATGTTTTTTAAAAAGATACAGAAAATAAATAGATAAAAATTAAAGTTAATTTCTAAAAAATACTTTTTAATTTTTTTTTAACGAACTTAATCTAAACAAGGCTGCAAACTTTTTTATTTATAAAGCTGTAAGCTAAAAGTAGTTCAAAAAGTCCTGTTAATTTTACTATTTACTTGGTACCAAGTAGGGACATATAAGGGATTTTTGGGTAATTTGCAATGTCGCTTGCAAATTACCCAAACAATCATCTCAGAATAGAATTTAGATTTTGTTTTATCATAATAAAATTAACAAGATTAATGTTAAACGTAAAATCTTTTCATAAACTCATTTTAAAGGTTTTTTTAGTTAACATACAGCATACATAAAAGTTTTCATTTTTTATTATACAAAGTTTATATTAAAACATTGTTCCCTGTGACAATACAACATTACAACATAGAAAATGTTGTGTTGTCACAGAGGGAACATTTTTTTTCAGTAAAAAACAATCTGAGATTTTTTACCAATATTGCTTTGATTTTTATGGTGACAAATAAAATTTACTTAACTTATTTCAAAATCTAAAGTTTCAATAATTAAAAGTATAGGAAAAAACTGTTTTGCTCAGGTTAAAGGCAAACATAGTTTGTAAAAAATTTAAACTGACAAATAAAGAGCTGTGAAACAAAGGATTACAAGATGAGTAATATATGTTTTCAAGATGAGAAATATCTGTTTTAAACTGTCCTTGAAAGTTAGGATCTTTATGTTGGGAAAATTTACCTTGTTTGCAACAATCAAGAAACCTTCAAAAGCCACGAAAAAACAAAAATATTATAAATAAATCAACCAGAAAAAAGTAATGGCATTATTATATTAGACTGAAATCTGTTACTTGAAAAAATTTACGAAATTTTTAATGATACCACTAAATTTAAAAAGATTCCTAAAGATCCTACTGTACTCAGAGAAGGCCAACTACAAAGATTCCTTTGCAAAATTAAGAATAAAAATCTATTTAACACCAACGAGTATAAAAATATTTATCCTATTGTTTCAACAATTGCTAGAAAGTATGGAAAATCTAAATTGCATAAATTAACTGCTAATAATAACATTACTTCCTTCAGACATATAGTTTCTTCATTAGGGACATACAACAACAAATTATCTTATTTTTTAAGTAATTTACTTACTTCATACATTCCAATGAATCATTGCACCAAAGATAGCTTCACCTTTGTTAATGAACTTAAAGAAGTAAGAGTAGCTAGTAGCTTTTACCTAGTCTCCTTTGATGTGGAAAGTTTATTCACAAATATCCCAATGGATGAAACCATCTTAATTGCTGTGGATTTAATCTTAAAAATAAACCAAACCTTTATACTTCTAAACTTGAATGAAAAAATTAATTTGATTTTTAACCATGCAAACGCATTTCCTATTAAACAATGAAATATTTGATCAAATCGATGGAGTTTCCATGGGATTTCCGTTAGCTCCTGCCTTGGCTAACTTATTTATGAGTCATCACGAAAACATTTGGTTACAAGACGATAATTGCAAAAAAGTAGTTTGTACAATAGATATGTAGATAATATCTTTTGTATCTTTGAAAATAATGATGATGCACTCACTTCACTAGAATATATAAATAAACAACATCCTAACCTCAAACAACATCCTAACCTCAAACAACATCCTAACCTCAAACAACATCCTAACCTCAAACAACATCCTAACCTCAAACAACATCCTAACCTCAAATTTACTAAAGAGGGAGAAGTTGATCACAAATTGAACTTTCTTGATTAACTCTAAAAATAATAAATTTGATACTTCAACGTTTTATAAATAAAACATACACAGGTTTACTGACTAATTTTTCCAGCTTCACTAATGTTATTTATAAACTAGGATTCAAACTCTGATTGACAGGGTCTTCTCAACAAATTCTCAAACAAACTTCTCAAAAAATTCTTTCCTCTTGAAATTAATTGACAAAACGTTAAAAAATTTACTAAACAACCTTACTCTCCTACAGAAAACATATCATCTTCAAAACCATCTGATATGCATTACTTTAAACTTCCTTACATTGGACAAATTTCAAACACATTTCAACACATATTAAATAAATATATTAAAAAGTATTCTAAAGATAATATAAAAGCAAGACTAGTTTTTACACCTTTTAAAATAAATAGTATGCTTTCATCAAAAGAAAACCTTTTGTATAATTTTTTGTAAAGTTTCATAGTTATTATTTATTTTATAAAATGTAACTATTGTAAAAACTATTAAGTTTTTAATGTAGCCAAAAAAAATTACTTATATACAGAAATTGTAACTAACTTTTTATACCTGATGATGTCAATTGATATTGATGAAACATGTTGTTAAAAAGTTTTTAAAAAATTGTTATTTATTTTAAAATTATTACTAAATTAGTGCTACTTAGACCATTTGGAAGTGTATATATATATATATATATATATATATATATATATATATATATATATATATATATATATATATATATATATATATATACAGTGATCGATATTTACTTAGCCGCACACAATTTTTATTCAAAATTTTAATTTTTAAGGAAAATTTATTAGGTAAAAAAGAAAATATGATTTTTATTGTATAGCTTAGTTATTAAGTATTTTATTAGTAAAGTATTTATAATAAAAATATATCACATTAAAAATAGAAAAAAAAAAAATAAGGAATGCACTTTTCATATGCGAATTTTCGTTAGACGCACTTTTAAAAATTAAATAATGAAAAGGAAAAAAATATTTTTTTTGAATTTTAATATTTGGTGGGTCCTCCATGGTTCTTAATCACTTCAAAAATTCTATTTGGCATTGAATTAATGAGCGATTGGAGTGTCATTGGTTGAATTTCTTGCCAACACCTATTGACTTCACCTCGAAGCTCTTGAATGCTGCTTAATTGTCGTCCATAAACCTTTCGAGATAAGATTCCCCAAAGGTTCTCAATTGGATTGAGATCTGGACTATATGCAGGCCATCTCATCACTTCGATGTTTTTGGATTCAAACCATGCCATAGTTTCTCTTGATTTATGAATGGGTGCATTTTCTTGTTGGAAAATGACTTGATCTTCCAAGTTATTTTTCAAAAAATCGATTAAGACATCTTCTAATAAATCTGTATAATTAATGGATTTCATTTTTGTCGATATAAAACATATCAGTGTCTTTCCATTGATACAAAATGCTGCCCATGTCATTAATGATCCACCACCAAAATTGCATGACAAACGAGAGAGAGAGAGAGAGAGAGAGAGAGTATATTTGTTATATTGTTGGTTTTTTGCATTAGGTTTTTATGAGGACCACAGAATTTTTGTTCCAGTTATAATCCTTTGACATTTTTTATAATTTTTTTTTTATTCATATATTTGCCGTACATATAACATTTACAAGTTTCGTAAATTAAAAGTTGTAATATTTACAAGTCTCGTGAGTCAAAATATATAGTGAAATTTATAATTAAATAGTACAGGCCGTACTTCAAAAAGATCGTAATGATCTTATCACGAAGCCCTTACAATGTGTTTGATATACATTATGATTATGTTAAATGAAATCTTTAAATTAAGCTCATAATAAAAAATAAACTCAAAATAAGCTCAGTATAAAAAATTAGACTTAACAAACAGCATAATAACTAAAATTGATAAGAAAAAATCAAGTATTTTTTGTGTGTGTAATAAACAATTTTTGATATATTGTTTGAGAAAGGTAAGAGTCATTTAGATAATACACATAAACGGGTCAGTTCACTTTGTAGTTGATATATATGTATTTTAATTTATAGTCTTAGAAGAATTCTGAGTATCTGTTTAGATTTAGTATCAGATTTTTTAACTTTTTTTTCAAGGAATTTTGATTATCTAGATTGCAAATTGATTTATTTTTAGTTACTAGTTTGTTGTATAAATAAGGACCCCGATATGAAATTAAGAACTGGGAAAGTTTTATTTTTTTGAAAGGTGTAGTAAAGTTTCCTTTTTCTCTTGTGTTATATTTATTAACGTTATTTATAAAAAAGTTATTTAAAAAATGGTTTGGTACTTGACCTAATTTAAATTTTAGCATAAACAATATATTTTGGTAAATATTAATTTGATAAATATTAAGCACATTCATTACTTTAAATAAGGGTTCAGCGTGTGTAAATTTGTCTTTATGGTAGATTAGTCTTACAGCATGTTTCTGACGTCGATATAAAGTTTTCAATTTGGTTATATGCGTACTCGCCCAAGCTATATTCGCATATATGAGGTAGCTATGTATAAAAGAGAAATATATAAGTTTTAAATTACTTTGCGAATTCCTGCTTAATTCCTATTAGAAGGAATTTTATAAGATTTTTTTTTCAGCTATTGTATTTGACTATATTATTATTCATTTGGTTATTTTCTAAAGTTTGTTAAAAACTAAAGATCATACGAAAAAGCAGAATATATATATTAAAATATATAGGCCGAATATATAGCGAAATGTGTACATCTTTTTTTTTTAATTTTCACTTTTTTTACCAATTTTTATATTCTATTAGGAATATCTTTCTTGTATTAAATTGGTACATCGAGATCTAGCTGCAAGAAATATCTTAGTTGGTGCTGAAAAAAATGTGAAAATATCTGACTTTGGTCTTACACGAAAAGTCAATGATGAATTAAATTATATGAGCACAAAGAATCGTCGTTTACCGGTCAAGTGGATGTCAGTTGAAGCCATATTCGATCAAATGTTCACGTCATTCAGCGATGTGTAAAGTTCTTAAATATTTTTTTTTTTTTTGTTTTTGTTAATACTAAATAATATACTTTACCTAAATTAAAATACTACCCAAATATAAATTAGAAGGTTAATAATTAGTTAAGGTTGTGATTAAATTTTTAGATGGGCGTATGGCATTGTATTATTTGAAATTGTTACGTTAGGTAAGTATAAATAAAGATTGTTGTAATGTATTAGGTTTTAACGTGTTAAATTCTATTAAGTATTCTATAGGTATTAACGTGTTAAATTCTATTAAGTTTTTTTCTTCTTAAAACTTCATTTTTTCATACTTTTGTGTTTACTTTGTTTTACAGGAGGAACGCCTTATCCGACTATAAGTAATCGTGAACTTCTTAATCTTTTGAAGTCTGGTTATAGAATGGACCGACCAGAAAATTGTTCGGAACCCATGTAATTTATTTATTTTAATTTATTTGTTTATTTTTTATTATTATTTCTTTGTTTTTTGTGACTGTTGTTGGTTTTCTTTAGTTAACGTTTCTTTTTTATTAATATTTAGGTACGATATCATGTTACACTGCTGGAATGAAGATCCATTACAGAGACCTACCTTTACTGAGTTGCGTGAACACCTTGAGGGAATAATGTCCAAAGGCGATCATTATTTTAGCTTCGATATTGACGAAGAAAATACTTACTACAACGCAGCCTCTTTTAATAGCTTACCGCCAGAATCTAATGATGACGTACTGGAAGAAGAGATATTTCGAAAGCCCGTGCAAGTAAAATCAATTGACGAATTTTCAAATGTGAACGAAAGATACACGTTTTCTGAAGCTTTAAAATCTTAAACTGAACTTCGCGGTTTTCAAAGTCCAAAGCCTTGAATGCAAATTAGACACCGCCATGTCTACTTTGCATTTAATTCTGTAATAAAAACAAGTGTAGTAATAGTGCGAAATAAATTAAAACATTTTAAATTTTGCAAGTTGTTTGAATATATGATTAACCCTTTGTCTAAAGACTATAAAATTTAGGTTGCAAGCTGAAATTTAGTACATTTGTCAGGAATATGAGCATTTTGTAAATACAAACTTGTGATATGCGAACCATGTATGTGTGTATATATATATATATATATATATATATATATATATATATATATATATATATATATATATATATATATATATATATATATATATATATATATATATATATATGTATATAATATGTATATATATGTATATATATAAACAATTTTAAAATGTATTCTATAAAATAGAGTGCTCAACTTTCTTAAAAGAACAAAGCAATATTAAATTAGTAGAAAATCACTTGACAAAATTTTTTCATTTAAAACTTTAGCATTTAAAAGTTTCATCAATAAAGACTTATCAGAAATGAATGATCAAATTAATAAAACTTTAATTTATACAAAAATTAATTTTCAGGAAGTCGTAAATGTTTTAACTACTGTAAATTCTTAAGAATTCTTTTTATAATAATGTCAGCATATTCCACAAATGTTCACACATTTGTGGAATATGCTGACACTATTATAAAAAGAATTCTTGAGAATTTATTTTTTCTGTTTTTTTGTTATGTTTTTTTTAAACGAGTGGATTTAATGTAACTATTATTTTAGTTCACTTATTTTTAAAGTTTTTTTAGGAGGAACTTATTTTCGTGCCAGCATTTAGAAATCAATTTCGATTTTTTTTTTAATAAACATTCTTGATTTGCATGTGTAATTATTTCAAATTTTTTTTTTAGGCATAGTATGCATTTTTTGGAAATATTATTTATATGCAGGTGCTGTTTTAAGTATCGACCAATTTAGTATAAACTCATCAATATTTTTATCTTTTAATTCCCATATTTATTTTAACCGCTAGTGTCTTTTAAATACTTTTTATTTTGAAAGGATTGCTTATAATTAGTAAAACGTTTTTCTCCATTCTCCTTCTGCTAAACCAATAAATTGTTTATCGGGTACATTCTTAGAAGAAACAACAAATTTTATACCACAATTTTTGATAAACAATTTCCACTCAGTGGGCAATTGTATTTTTGTTTACAATTACAATTTTCTGTTGCTTTTTCATTTAGAATTTATTTTTTGTTTAACAAAGCCATATTGGCACCTTTTATTACTCTTTCCATATTTTTTGTGTTGTTGCTAACTTTAATTGATACTTTTTGTGCTGTTGCTAACTTTAATTGATATTTTTTGTGCTGTTGCTAACTTTAATTGAATTTTAATTCGATTAAAAATATTATATAATTTATTAAAGGGCGGTAAATGCTTATCGATCAATTTTTAAAATACTTTTCCTATGTTAGTGGAAACATTTTGCTATATAGGGGAGGGGGTTGAACCAAATTACATTTCTAGTTCTATTTCGCTTTTTTGTATTTTCTTTTTTCAGGGTCAAATTGTAGTTCAAAATTTTGGAAACTTTTTTTAAGAGCATCTTCAAAAATTCGTTTAGAAGAATTGAATACATTTTCATTTGAGGAGGTTTGGCTTAGCCTGTTATTAATTAAAATCGGGATTTGTTTTAGAAATTGGGGTGGATGATTTGGGTTAATATTAATATACAACAATTCATCATTTGGTTTTTTGAAAAACTTAAAATAATTTTCACAGAGGTTAAATGTGACATCAAGAAAATTCACAACTTAAATTTATGCTTTATTCAATTTGAAAGCCAATATTTTCAAAAAATTTTATTATATCTTTTTAATTTTATCGAGCTGTGTACCAGATTTTTTACGCATTATTATTAAACTATCGTCACGATAAAGGCTTAAATCATTAATATTAATTATTTTACTTAATAAATCTAAAATATATGTATATATATACATACATATATAACTTTAAAACAAAAGAGTATATAATACCATACATAATAAAATATTGTTTTAAACTGAGTAACTAGAAACACGGGATATGTTTAAGTATATGTATAACCACACAGTGGTTGATGACCCATCAGTCGTCGACGTTTTGCCATTAAAAATATGCTGAGCTAACACTAACTAAAATAGTGTCTGAAAGAATCTTTTCTTTATACGAGAAGGAAAATAAACATAAAAATAAATACGATGATAAGGAACAAAAAATGTTTAGTAAATACTCTTAACTTTTAAGAATAACTTTCATAACCGTTTTCAGAATAATTTTCTTATATTTATTGTGCAATAATAATACTTATTATTCAATAGTTTTTTAATGAAGTTTACATTGTCTTAGTTATTTATGTCTGTTACAACTGTTTGTCTTTGTTAAAGTTGCTATATGTTATTTTTTTTATTTTTTATGAAGGATGATGCAATGAATATTACGAGAATCAGCAGCTAACAGTAGCAAAGATATGAAGGAAGCTTTTGCACCAATAACAAAGTTTTAGTCTTATCTTCCGAATAAGAGTTTTAGTCTTATCTTCCAAATCGACGTTTTAGTCTTATCTTCCAAATCGACGTTTTAGTCTTATCTTCCAAATCGACGTTTTAGTCTTATCTTCCAAATCGACGTTTTAGTCTTATCTTCCAAATCAGAGTAAGCTATATGATTTAATCAGATTTTCAGGTCTTACTAAGCCAGGAGCTGAACTTCTTTCATCAAGAATGACGAAATAAAATTTATAGACGAAGACTGCTGTACATGTGTACACACATACATATATATATATATATTTATGTATATATATATGTATATATTTATATATAAACATAAAATTATATATACACATAAATACATATATATATATATATATATATATATATATATATATATATATATACATATATATATATATATATATATATATATATATATATATATATATATATATATATATATATATATATATATATATATATATGTGTGTGTGTGTGTGTGTGTGTGTGTGTGTGTGTGTGTGTGTGTGTGTGTGTGTGTGTGTGTGTGTGTGATTTTGCCTGAAACGATGAATAATTTGAGGTATCAAACTTATCAGAATGTATTAGCTACTTATGTATTAGGCGTATTTACTCATGGGCAAGGCCAGAAACATAAGCTACAACGGCTACTTTGTTAATCAAACGCTAAAGTACTATTTTATTCGGTGTAAAACAAGGTTGTCTTCTACTCTCTATTAGAAGATTTAAAAACTTTTTAAATCTTTAGATTAGTAATCGTAGCTTTTAATGTATGACCATAACATATAATATGGCATTAATGTAATACCCACTACAGGTAAACAACTTTTCAAGTTTTCTGTAAACTATTTCTTTGCTCTTTAACCCTATTCTTTGTTTCCAACTTAATAGCAGTTGTTGCAGCCTTTTGGTATTAAACAAGATTTAAAAAAATCTATCTGCAGCAGCATAAGATGCAATCACTACGGTTTAAGTAACCCTATGCAATATATCATGATGTTACTTTGAAGGATGATTTTAGGCAAAATAATGAAGGAGTAAACTTGTCTTTTACTTCTTTAGTATATTTACATTTTGTAGTGGTCGTGGTGCTGGTGGACTGTTAACACATTGGACTTAAACGATGATGCTGTAAATGATCGTATGAATGGATTTTGATGAGCTTGTTTCGTTTTAGCTTTTCTCTTCTTTGTAATATCAGTCATACAAAAATAAAAACAGTTATAAAAACTATTCTGAAAACAGTAATAAAATTTATTGTTAAGAGTGTTTATTGAACATTTATCTGACTTCAAACGTTTCTTTTAAAATTTAATCAAATAAAAACAAATTTATTTACATCAATCAAATTTAAGTAATGATGTTAAAAATTCATCTTGTGATAATGTTAATTATGAAATTTTATTCTTATTTAAAACTTTTTTTTAAATGATTTTAAAACATTTTAGCGGTTGCTAGCATTTCGACAATTCTTAGTTATTTGCTATTTTGAATTTCTTAATTCTCTCAGTTATTTTCTGTTTTAATTCTGACCTATATTTTATATATTTATACTATATACATTTGTATGTTACGGTTATGTAGAGTTTTTTTTTATTGTAGAGTTTTTTTTTTTTTTTTTTTTTTTTTAATATGTGGGGCTCGGCGATAAGGCAAAATGTGCCTTCTTCTTGCTCCTGCCATTAATTTTGATATATGTATATGCAATGTAAACATTCTTTAACGGCGAAATAAATTACACTTAAAAAAAAAAAAAAAGAACAGTTTTTGCTCCAAATCATCGTATGTATTTATTTTTATGTTTACGATAGCCAAGCTACTTTCTCCTGTAAAAAAAAGATAGACGATCTTTTCAGACACTATTTCGGCACTTTAAATTAATTAAAAAACGGGTGTCACGCAAAGGTATTATCACTTATCAGAATTGTTAATTTCATATTTGCCATAAAAATAATTTTTTTTTTTTTTTGAAGCTAAAACAAATCTTTGAAGTAATGTACATTAATTTTTTTTTTTTAGCTTGCATTTGTTGTCATAGTAATTAAACTACTTCTACAAAGACAAACGAGGTTTTTAAAAGATGATTGTACTAATCTTATCATTAGAATCTTTTACAAGCGTGTGTAAAATAAACCTCATCAATTCATAATTGTCAAAAAGTTTGAAACAAAATTAATAGTTACAATTAAAATTACCAGATTACATCATCCATTGAAAGAATTATATATATTTTTTTAAGTTTATACTTGAAAATAGGAAAAGTATAAGACATATCAAAACTGGACAAAACAATTTTATTCCAAAGGTATAATGCACGATATGTAATACAAAACTGACTAAACTTGGCTTGACAAAAGAGTTCGTAAATAAAAGTTTTATATATTTTCAAGTGTATACTTATTTATTGGTTTTAAACAAAAGAGATCTTTAATAATGGGTAAAAATAAGTTATTTTTCCACATATACATAAAGCATAAAGCATTAGAAACATTAGGCTCATATATATTGAGAACTTTAATTTCTACAGAAAGGGTTTGGAATAAGTGTATCG